ACTAGAGGCCGAGTGCAAGAAATTCATAAGGGTAGGGTCCCTAGGCCTGGCGGTAGGGCCTTCCTTCATTCTGGGCTGCCCCCTGGTGGTCAGTGCATGTCATAGCAAGCGGTCAGTTCCCTGTCTAACTTCCAGAGGGGACAATTTGCATACTAGCCTTTTATTATTTTTTTAAATCTTTTTAAATCTTCACCCGAGGACATTTTCCCACTGATTTTAGAGAGAGTGGAAGAGAGAGGGAAAGACTGAGAGAACTCACATTGATTGGTTGCCTCCTGGACTCGCCCTGATGGGGGGCGGAAGAGGGGGGAGGAGCCTGAGACGGAGGTACCTGCCCTTGACCAGAATGGAACCCCAGGCTGACGCTTTACCCACTGAGCAACACAGGCTGGGGCAAAATATGGCTTTTAAAATCAAATTTGCTAGCTGTGACCAGGAGCGGTGACTTCTGAAGGTTTTCCATCTGTAGAGATATGGATAAACGTGTTTTTAAAATTCTTATTTATTTACTGATTTTAGAGAGAGGAAGTGGGAGGGAGGGAGAGAGACACATTGATTTGTTGTTCTACTGATTCATGCATTCATTGGTTGATTCTGTACCTGCCCTGACCAGCGATTGAACCCACAACCTTGATGCGTGGGGACAACACTCTAACCAACTGAGCTCCCTGGCCAGGGCCTCTCTGCTGTTTTTTTTTTTTTTTTAAATATATTTTATTGATTTTTTACAGAGAGGAAGGGAGAGAGATAGAGAGCTAGAAACATCGATGAGAGAGAAACACCGATCAGCTGCTTCCTGCACATCTCCTACTGGGGATGTGCCTGCAACCCAGGTACATGCCCTTGACCGGAATCGAACCTGGGACCTTTCAGTCCGCAGGCCGACGCTCTATTCACTGAGACAAACCGGTTTCGGCTCTGCTGGTTTTCAACGTTGTGGCCTGTCAGCAGGTATAGGCCACCAGCTCACACCTCAGCTCTTAAATGCATCCCACCTTTCACATTCGTTTTAATTTTTTTAAAATTTTAATGGAGGTTAATGGACATGTACTGTTACCTTAGTTTCCGTGGCACAACATCATGATTCAGTATTTATATGTTGTGAAATGACCACAAGTCTAGTGAACACCCGTCACCATACATAGCTACTGCAGCATTTTCTTGGTCTTGGGACAATGACATGTAAGATCTACTGTTTTATAACTGCAAACACACACTACATTATTATTAACTGCAGTCATGCTGCAATTACATCCCCAGGACTTACTTATTGTATACCTGTACAGTCATGTTTTTTTAAAAAATATATATTTTTATTGATTTCAGAGAGGAAGGGAGAGGGAGAGAGAGAGATAGAAACATCAATGATGAGAGAGAATCATGGATCAGCTGTCTCCTGCATGCCTCCTACTGGGGCTCAAGCCCACAACCCGGGCATGTGCCCTTGACTGGAATCAAACCCAGGATCCTTCAGTCTGCAAGCCAATGCTCTATCCACTGAGCAAAACCAGCTATGGCTTGTTTTTTTTTATTGTTTTTTTTTGTTTTTGTTTGTTTTTTAATCCTCACCTGAGGATACATTCATTGACCTCAGAGTGAGGAAGGGAGACAGACGGGGAGAAACATCAATGTGAGAGAAACATTGATTGATTGCCTCCCATACACTGGCCAGATGTGGAGAAAAGGAAATACTCTTTTCCAGTTCGTGTTTTCATTTTCGTTGGCTAAATACTCAGATCTAGCCAGTGATTGAACCTGAAACCTGGGTATGCGCCCTAATGGGGAATTGAACCCACAACCTCTTGGTGTATGGGATGATGCACCAACCAACGGAGCCACCCAGCCAGGGCTGCACGGTCATGTTTTTGGATGTGATTTCCCGTTCACTGATGGATCACCCAGCACCAACCTTTGCTCATAAAAATCAAGTATTAGCCCTTCAAAGATGAGGAAATGGAGGCAGAATAAGACTGAGTCATTTGCACAGGTCACATAACTCACAAGTGGCTCCAACGGGATTTGATCCCATTGCCCAGGGTCTGCTCTCTCTGAGCCACGTTGACTCAGTTTACCTGGCTGCACCTCTCTGTATTCAGGCCTGGGTGCCTGTCAGCTTGGAGGGGCTTTGGGAACGGTGTCCTGCCTGTTCTGAGACTGTCCTGAGTTGAATGTCACCATGGGTGTGGCACAGTGTCTGTCTTCCCACAGCAAAGACCGGAAACTCTCCTACTGGCGGGCCCTGTGCTGCGTGTTCACCAACAGCAGGGACTTCCAGATGCTGGATTTGGACAACTGCATTTTCAACGAGGCCTCCCAGGCGATCCTCTGGAAGGCACTGGCTCAGCCCACTTGCAAACTTCAAAAGTTGGTGTAAGTGGGGTGTCACCCTGTTTTTTTTTTTCATAGTAGACATTCATTCTCTCCATTCTGGCTTTTGAAAAAGTAAGTATGGTTAGTGTGCAATCTTATCTATATATATAAAAGCCTAAGTGACCATTACCACCAGTCGACCGCTTGCTATAAGGTGCTATAAGGGGGCAGCTCCTATGTTGAGCATCTGTCCCCTGGTGGTCAGTGTGTGTCATAGCAACCAGTCATTCCCAGTAGTTCTGCAGTTAGGGTCAATTTGCATATTACCCTTTTATTATATAGGATGCTGCAATGAACACAGCGGTGCATATATCTTTTCCAGTTCATGTTTTCATTTTCTTTGGATAAATACTCAGTAGTAGGATCGCTGGGTCATATGGGAGTCCTATTTTTAATTTTTTGAGGAAACTCCACACTGTTTTCCACAGTGGCTGCACTGGTGATGGCGAACCTTTTGAGCTCGGCATGTCAGCATTTTGAAAAACCCTAACTTAGCTCTGGTGCTGTGTCACATATAGAATTTTTTTGATATTTGCAACCATAGTAAAACAAAGACTTATATTTTTGATATTTATTTTATATATTTAAATACCATTTAACAAAGAAAAATCAACCAAAAAAATGAGTTCGTGTGTCATAGGTTCGCCATCACTGGGCTGCACCAGCCTGCATTCCCACCAGCAGTGCATGAGGATTCCTTTTCTCCACATCCTCACCAGCACGTGCTTGCGGATTTACTGGTGGTAGCCATTCTGGCAGGTGTGAGGTGAGACCTCATTGTGGTTTTAATTTGCATCTCTCTGATGATTAGTGATATCTGGTATCTTTTCATACGTCTGTTGGCCATCTGGATGTCTTCTTTGGAGAAATGTCTTTTCAGCCTTCTGTCTATTTTTTGATCAGATTGTTTATTATTATTTTTTTGTTATCATGTTGTATGAGTTCTTTATATATGTTGGATATTAACCTTTTCTCAAATATATCATTTATGAATGTGATCTCCCACGCAGCAGACCGTCTTTCTGTTTTCTTGCCAGTTTCCTTTGCTGTGCAGCAGCTTTTTAGTTTGATAAACCAATGTGTCCAAAGACAGCTCAGAGAGCATCACTTGATAGGAAAGTCTGAGCAAGAAACACACTTTCGGCAAACAGGAAGACCGCCAAACGGAGCATGGCCCTGGCTGGCGGCTCAGTTGGGTGGAGCGTCATCCTGTAAACCAAAAGGTTTTGGCTTCAGTTCCCAGTCAGGGCACAAACACAGGTTTTAGGTTCAATCCCTAGTAGGACACATATGTGGGTGTTGGGTTTGATTCCCAATCAGGGCACATACCTAGGTTGCAGGTTCAATCCACAGGCACATATGCAGGTTTTGAATTCAATCTCTGCTCAGGGCACAGACGTAGGTTTCGGGTTCAATCCCAAGTCAGGACACATACACATAGGTGGGCTGTGAATTCAATCCCTGCTCAGGGTTTGGGGTTCAGTTCCCAGTCAGGACACATACCCCAAGCCGTGGAGCCCCGGTGCCTGTCTGCTGCCTGAAGACCCCAGGGAAAGAATTTGCAGGTGGGAGTAACCAGGGTTCTTCGAGCAGCGTGGTAGGCCTAGCGGGGCGGGCAGGAAGAGCCGGGAGGAGGTACCTGCTTGGTGCTTGGATTCACCCCCTGGTCCCCCATCTCGTCCTTGGCAGGTACAACTTTGCTTCCAACGTGGGAGAGAGCGCAGACTTCTTTAAGGCCCTGGTTCACAACCCCAACCTGACCTACCTGAACCTGCACGGCACCAACCTGTCCTCCGAGGAGGTCGCGCAGCTGAGCGAGGCGCTGAGGCACCCCATGTGCAGCATCCAACAGCTCATGTGAGTCTCCGCGGCGGCTGTGGGGAGCGACGTGTTTTTGATGCTCAGAATCTTTGACTTTCCTCACTGCCTCTCAGTACCTGCTCGCGGGCGAGGGCCAGGAGATGGTTTTCTAACTGCATGAGGGCTCAGACGGGGTTTTTCTCAACCTCAGAGCTACTGACAAATCATCAGCTCATCAGATCGAGCGCCAGGTAATCCTCTGTTGCGGAGGGCGGCGCTATTGAGTGGCTCCCTGGCCTCCACCCACTCATGGCAGTAGCATCCTCCCCCAGGCCCACAACCACACACACGTCTCCAGATGCGGGGAAACATCTGCGTATGTCAACAGTCATTGTGAGAACCACGCACTCCGACTTTTTCCTAATGTCAGTGAAAGGCAACCACAGGCTAATAAGGAGAGCCTGGCTGGTGTGGCTCAGTGGATCGAGTGTCGGCCTGAGGACTGAAAGGTCCCAGGTTCGATTCCCATCAAGGGCACATGCCCGGGTTTTGGGCTTGATTCCCAGTAGGGGGTGTGCAGGAGGCAGCCAGTCAATGCTTCTCTCTCATCACTGATGCTTCTCTCTGCCTCTCCCTCTCCCTTCCTCTCTGAAATCAATACAAATATTTTTAAAAATATATTTTATTGATTTTTTACAGAGAGGAAGGGAGAGGGACAGAGAGCTAGAAACATCAATGAGAGAAGCATTGATCAGCTGCCTCCTGCATACCCCGCACTGGGGATGTGCCCGCAACCAAGGCACATGCCCTTGACTGGAATCGAACCCGGGACCCTTCAGTCCGCAGGCCGACGCTCTATCCAGTGAGCCAAACCGGCCAGGGCAATACAAATATTTTTTTTTAAAAGGTTAATAAGGAGAATGATGGAGTCACATTTTCTGTTAGGAAGTCTGAAATGTGGCCATTGGGTTGGCAGGTGCAAGAATAGAAGCTGGGTGTGGCCCATGCCCGATTAAAAAACATTTTTTTTTGCCCTGGCTGGTGTGGTTCAGTGGTTGGACACCCTCGGTGCACCTGGAGGTTGCCAGTCTATTCTGGTCAAGGCACATGCTTGATGCTTCTTTCTCACGTCGGTGTTTCCCTCCCTCTCTCTCAAATCTATTGAGAAATCTTTAAAAATATATATATTTTTAATTGTTTTATTGCTTAAAGTGTTACAAAGAGTATTACATATGTCTCCTTTTTTCCCCGCCCTTAACAATCCCCTGGCCTCCCCTACCCCCCAGTGTCATATGTCCATTGGTTATGCTTATCTGCATGCATACAAGTCCTTCGGTTGATCTCTTACCCGCCCCCCCCTCCCGCCCCTCAACCCTCCCCGGCCTTCCCACTGTAGTTTGACAGTCTGTTGGAGGCTGCTTTGCCTCTGTAAATTTATAATGGTCTTTATTATCTATAAATGAGTGAGATCATGTGGTATTTTTCCTTCATTGACTGGCTTATTTCACTTAGCACAATGCTCTCCAGTTCCATCCATGCTGTTGCAAATGGTAAGAATATATTTTAAAAAATATATCTTTTAAAATTACACTTGACATACAATAACATATTACTTTCAGGTATACAGGCTAGTGATTAGACATTTATATAGTTTACAAAGGGATCCCCCAGTAAGTCTAGTCCCCACCTGGCACCATACACAGTTATTACAATATTATTTTTTATATAGTTTTTATATTTTTATTGATTTCAGAGAGGAAGGGGGAGAGAGAGAGAGAGAGAGAGAGAGAGAGAGAGAGAGAGAATGAGAGGGAATCATTGGTTGGCTGCCTCCTGCACATCCTCTGCTGGGGATCGAGCCCACAATCCCGGGCATGTGCCCTTGACAGGAATTGAACCTGGGGCCCTTCACTCCGCAGGTTGATGCTCTATTCACTGAGCCAAACTGACTAGGGCAATTACTACAATATTATTGACTATATTCCCTGTCCTGTACTTTACATCCTGGTGGTTTTTATACCTGGTAATTTGAACTTCTTAATCCCTTCACCTTTTCCACCCTGTCCCCCAAGACCCCTCCCCTCTGGTGACCCTCAGTCTGTTCTTTTAAATATATATATATATATATATATATATATATATATATATATATATATATATATCGATTTCAGGAAGGAAAAGAGAGGGAGAGAGAGAGAAACATCAATGATGGGAGAGAATAATTGATTGGCTGCCTCCTGCACGCCCCCCACTGGGGAGAGAACCCACAACTCAGGCATGTGCCCTTGACCCTAATATGGCCGGGAACCTTCAGTCCCAGGGCGGCGCTGTATTCACTGGGCCACACCAGCCAGGGCCCTGTGCCTGGCACTTTGTATTTGTACTTCTTGACCCCTTCACCTTTCCCACCTGCTCCCAAGCCTCTCCCCTTTGGCGACCCTCGGTCTGTTCTGTTTGTCTCTTTGCCAATGAGCCCTGCACTGCCTTGCTCACCGCCCTGCGCCCCGTGTCCCCTTCCCGCTCCAGCAGGCTGGGGCAAGTGCGACATCACCGATGAGGCCTGCGAAGACATCGCGCTGCTCCTGGTGAGCAGCCGGAAGCTGAAGCTGGTGTCGCTGATGGAGAACCCGGTGATGGACAGCGGCCCCTGCTGCTCAGCGAGGCGCTCAAGCACCCGGACTGCGCGCTGGAGTCGCTGCTGTAAGTGTGTCTGGGCCTCACGGACCCCTCAGCCCTCAGGGCAACCCAAGCTGCCCTGGCCGGTGTGGCCCAGAGGATAGAGCCTCGGCCTGACGACTCAAGGGTCCTGGGTTCCATTCCCCTCAAGGGCACATGCCCGGGTTGCGGGCTGGATTCCCGTGTGGGACGTGCAGGAGGCAGCCGATCAGTGATTCTCTCATCGTTGATATTTCTCTCTCTCTCTCTCCCTCTCTCTTCCTCTCTGAAATCAATACAAATATATTTTTAGAAAGAAAAGAAAAAAGGGGCCCTTCCCCTCCAGCGCCCGACCCCTCGCAAGCTCTCCCACCCCCTCGTCGCTCTCTTCCCTTCCCCTGGGAAGGGGTGTCGGGGAGGGGCGGGGGCGAGGCTGTGGCAGCAATGAGGGGGGTGGGAAGGAGGTTCCCGCGGGTCCCGTAGGCCCACGGGGGCCCAGACACAGGGGGGGGGGGGCTGTGGCAGTGGGTACTCTGGATGCGAGCCGGCTGCGGCAGGCATCTCCCTTGCGCCCGGGGTGGTGTGGAAAAGGGGTTGTACCTCCACTCGGCTCCGGCCATGTGCTTGTCTCCCATGCCAGGACCGCATCCCCCTCTCCCCCACCCGGCCGCGCTGGGCCGGCGCCTAGCAGCCCACTTAGAACTGGTGACTGTTGAATTAAAACAATGCATCATGAAGGCCCAGCAGGTGCTGAGACGATGTGATTTCTGCCCAGGGCTCTGATTGTGAAGTGAAGACATTCAATGAAGCGCGGGTAAACGGGGAATAACTATGACTCTCTTAAGGTAGCCAAATGCCTCCTCATCTAATTAGTGACGCGCATGAATGGATGAACGAGATTCCCACTGTCCCTACCTACTATCCAGCCAAACCATAGCCGAGGGTTGGCGGAATCAGCGGGGAAAGAAGACCCTGTTGAGCTTGACTCTAGTCTGGCAGGTGAAGAGACATGAGAGGTGCAGAATAAGTGGGAGGCCTGGCGCCCCTCCATCTCTGCGAGGGGGTGGGGTCAGACAGTGAAATACCACCACTGGGGGGACAGTCCCAGGTGGGGAGTTTGACTGGGCGGTACACCTGTCACACGGGAACGCAGGTGTCCTAAGGCGAGCTCAGGAGGACAGAAACCTCCCGCGGAGCAGAAGGGCAAAAGCTCGCTTGATCTTGATTTTCAGTACCAATACCGACCGTGAAAGCGGGGCCTCACGATCCTTCAGACCTTCTGGGTTAGAAGCAGGAGGTGTCAGAAAAGTCACCACAGGAATAACTGGCTTGTGGTGGCCAAGCGTTCATAGCGACGTCGCTTTCTGATCCTTCGCTGTGGGCTCTTCCCATCATTTCCATCATTGTGAAGCAGAATTCCTCACGCGTGGGATTGCTCACCCACTAAGAGGGAACGTGAGATGGGTTAGATTCAACCTCCTGAGGATGTGTTGTTGCCATGGTAATTCTGCTCAGTAGGAGAGGAACCGTAGGTTCAGTTGGTGGATGTGCTTGGCTGAGGAGCCCATGGGGCGAGCTACCATCTGTGGGATTATGACTGAAGCTTCTAAATCAGAATCCCGCCCAGACAGAACCATAGGGCTGCACCTTGGGCCTCGGTTGCCCTCAGATAGTCGGTCCTTGCCGGCGGGCCGTCTCGCCCCCTCTGCACATCTGGTAGGTCCGGTGCGGAGAGCCCTTGGTCCTGGGAAATGGGGTCCGGCTGGAAAGGGGTCCGCCCCCTCCGTTCTTCAAGCAATGCACATTTGTGGGGAGCCTGGTGCTAAACCATTCGCAGTTGACCTGCTTCTGGGTGGGGGTTTTGTAAGTAGCAGAGCAGCTCCCTCGCTGTGATCTATTGAAAGTCAGCCCTCCACACACGGGTTTGTCTCGCTTCTGGCCTCTTTCCTTGGGGAGGGGGGACGGAAGTGGGGAAGGGACGGTCGCCTGCGCCCTACGGTGGGGGCACGCAGCAGCCTAGGGAAGGAAGGGGGACACCGCTCCCCTGGAGCCCATGGTGGCATTAGCGACCCTTCCTTCCTTCCTTTTGCGCCCCATCATGGCGACCAGTCGCTTCCTCTCCGAACCCCGTCACAGGGCCTTTTGGCCCCGGGCTGGGACTAGGAAGTGGAGGTGGGTGGCGGTGGACTCGGTCCCTGACCGAGGCGGGCTGAGGGCCGGCTCCTCCCCCTCTGAGAAGCTTGGTCGACTAGCCTCTCAAAACCGCTGGTGCAGGGTGGCTGCAGGGACAGAAGGTTGCGTGGTGGCTCCGGGTCGACCAGATGGCCCGGCCCAGACTTAGTCTCTGGCGGAGGCGGTGGTTGGGACCCCAAGAGACGGGGTCGACCAGATGGCCCGGCCCAGACAGTCTCTGGCGGAGGCGGTTGGGACCCCAAGAGACGGGGTCGACCAGATGGCCAGGCCCAGACTTAGTCTCTGGCGGAGGCGGTTGGGATCGCAAGAGACGGGGTCGACCAGATGGCCGGGCCCAGACTTAGTCTCTGGCGGAGGCGGCGGTTGGGACCGCAAGAGACGGGGTCGACCAGATGGCCGGGCCCAGACTTAGTCTCTGGCGGAGGCGGCGGTTGGGACCGCAAGAGACGGGGTCGATCAGATGGCCCGGCCCAGACTTAGTCTCTGGCGGAGGCGGCGGTTGGGACCGCAAGAGACGGGGTCGACCAGATGGCCCGGCCCAGACTTAGTCTCTGGCGGAGGCGGTTGGGACCGCAAGAGACGGGGTCGACCAGATGGCCCGGCCCAGACTTAGTCTCTGGCGGAGGCGGCGGTTGGGACCGCAAGAGACGGGGTCGACCAGATGGCTCGGCCCAGACTGTCTCTGGCGGGGAGTCAGTTGGGACCGCAAGAGACGGGGTCGACCAGATGGCCCGGCCCAGACTTAGTCTCTGGCGGAGGCGGCGGTTGGGACCGCAAGAGACGGGGTCGACCAGATGGCTCGGCCCAGACTGTCTCTGGCGGGGAGTCAGAGTGATTGGGTTGACCAGTTGTCTGTGGAGATGAGAGCTGAGAGACTGAAGACAAGAGGCTGGCGATTGAACTGGGGGATGCGGAGGGAGGGGGTGGGGAAGGGCGGGGTTAGCAGGGGGCGGGTCCAGGGCCGGGGGCGGGGCTGGGTCCAGGGGCGGGGCTGGGGCCCAAAGACCAAATAAAAGTTGACAGAATATTAAAAAAAAAAAGAAAAAAAGAAAAGGATTCAACCCTGGCAGGTGTTGCTCAACTGCTGGAGTGCCTGCCTGTGCACCGAAGGGTCACGGATTCGATTCCTGGTCCAGGGCACATACCTGGATTGCAGGTTTGATCCCCCACCCAGGTCAGGGCGGGTGTGGCACATGCACGAGGCAACCAGTGGATGTGTCTCTCACATCCGTGTTTGTCTCTCTGTCTTTCTCTCTCTCTGTGTCCCTCCCATTCTCTAAAAATTATTGGCAAAAATATTCTTGGGTGAGGATTAACAAAAGGAAAAAAAGAAAGGGAAAGAAAAAGGGATTCAGCTCCGGCCAGTGTGGCTCCATTGAGCGCCCTGACCTGCTTACCGAAAGGTGGCGTGTTAGAGTCCAGGTCAGGGCTCCATCCCCAGTAGGGGGCGTGCAGGAGGCAGCCCATTGATGTCTATCATCGGTGTTTCTCTCTCCCTCTCCCTTCCTCTCGCTCTTAAAAAAAGAAATAAAAACGTATTAAAAAATAAAACAAAAAGGTGTTTATTGGATTCCTTTCAGGTGCAGGGCTTCGCAAGTCCCATGTTGTGACCTTCCCCCTGCTCATGTACGAGGGGACCGCTCCCTCTGCTGGGGCTCGGCGGGGAGGGCAGCAGAGTGCAGACTTGGTTTGCCTGTGGGGCCACAGGCAACTTGGTGTTAAATCAGAAAAATACGGTGCCGCCTGAAGTGGGGGCTGGTGCAGGGGCAGTCACGTCTAAGGGAGCAGAGGGGCCTCCAGAAGCAGGCCTTCTATTTGCTGTGGCTTGTGGCTCCATTGGTTGGTTTGTCCCAAAAGGTTGCAGGTTTGATTCCGGTCAGGGCACGTACCCAGGCTGTGTTTCCATCCTCATTCATTGCACATACCTTAAGCAACCGATGGATGTTTCTCTTTTACATTGATGCCTCTCTCGTTCTCTCTCCTCCTCCCCCACTCCCAAATCAATAAACATATCCTCAGGGGAGGGTAAAAAAAATACACCCAACTTTTACTTGTGTGTGTGTGCACACATTCAGTGTGCAGGTGTGTACAGACATATGCGTTGTGCACACACACATTTAAAATAGAGGAGGACTGGAATACTGTTACTGATATGACTTATTTATTTAAAATTAATTTTATTGACTGATAATTACAGAGTAGAAGAGAGGTGAGAGAGAGAGATAAACATCAATGTAAGAGAGACACATAGATTAGTTGCCTCCCGACAAGGGCCAAGGATCAAGCCTGCAACCGAAGTACGTGCCCTTGACTGGAATTGAACCCAGGACCCTTTAGTCCACAGGTTGATGCTCTATTCACTGAGCCAAACTGGTCAGGGATGAGATGATTTTTTTAGACTGTGAAAGAAATTTAACAGTAAAATAAATTCCAGGGCCCTAGCTGGTGTGGCTCGGTGGATAGAGTGTTGGCCTGCAGACTAAAGGGTCCCAGGTTCGACTCCGGTCAAGGGCACATGCTTGGGTTATGGGCTCGACCCCCAGTGGGGGGCATGCAGGAGGCAGCCCATCAATGGTTCTCTCTCATCATTGATGTTTCTATCTCTCTCTTCCTCTCCCTTCCTTTCTGAAATCAATAAAAATATATTAAAAAAATAAATTCCAGCCGAAACCGGTTTGGCTCAGTGGATAGAGCGTCGGCCTGTGGACTGAAGGGTCCCAGGTTCGATTCTGGTCAAGGGCATGTGCCTGGGTTGCGGGCACATCCCCAGTAGGAGATGTGCAGGAGGATCGATGTTTCTCTCTCATCAATGTTTCTAACTCTCTATCTCTCTCCCTTCCTCTCTGTAAAAAATCAATAAAAATATATATATATATAAAATAAATTCCAGGGATAGTAAACATCAAAACCAAACTATTTAATTAATTTATTGATTTGAGAGAGAGAGAGAGAGAGAGAGAGAGACATCTGTTTGTTGTCCCACTTACTGATGCATTCACTGGTTGGTTGACTCTTATATGTGCCCTGACCAAGAATTGAACCTGCGACCTTTTGGTGTATGGGACAATGCTCCAACCAATGGAGCACACCAGCCAGGGCAACTGCTACACATTTTAGTCCTCTTATGTTTACTCAAGTGAGCGCTGGGTACGAGGAACGGTAAAGATCTTGCATGTGCCTTCAGGAAACTGTTACCGCATGCAGCGTAAGCAGGCTGACAGTGCGTGTGTGTGTGCTCGTCTCTCTGCAGACTGACATACTGCTGCCTCACCTCTGACGCCTGTGACTACATCGCCCAGGCCCTCGTGCGGAGCACCACTCTGTCCCTTCTTGATCTGGGGTCCAATTTCCTGGAAGACAGTGGAGTGAAGCTTCTCTGTGAAGCATTGAGGCAGCCAAGCTGCAACTTACAGCAGCTGTGGTAGGTCTGGCTACAATTGACTCAAATGTCAGGTGGTTTTTGATGCTGGAGTCCTATCCTGCAAAGGACACAGGAAGGAGGGAAAGCGTGGGGTCTGCTGGGAAAAAAACAAGGCTAAGTGTTGACCCCACTTGGTACTTCTAGGAATGCCAGTGGTGTGTTGATGCGTGTGTGTCTTAATTAAAGGGCTCCTGGAATTTTGGGACATGCTCCTCTGTAGTTGGGTCTCGGGGCCCTCTGTGCTCTACACTCGTTGGGTGAACGTGTGAGGGCGCCGCCCCTCTCCCCATGAGGATAAGTATATTGCCCACCTGAAAGAATTGAGGCACCGAGTGGGAATGATGCACATACAGAAACATTACCGATGATTTGCCCGTGACCAGCGCATGATTGATAACAGTAGGAGACACCTCATGGGTGCATTCATTCCTCCTGTGGGTAGATGAGGAACATGGTAACTGAAACGCTCCATCAGCCCTGTTTCTATAGAAGTCAATTTTATGGAATTTCATATGCACACATAGGTGTGTGTACATACACACACATGTGAGTGTGAGGCTGCAAGTAAGTGTATATTTGTGTATATATGGTGGGTTCTTAGTCTCGGCATGGTTGACATCTGGCCCAGATCATTCTTTGTCATGGGAGTGCTGTCCTGTGCTTTGTAGGATGTTTTAACTGAACAGGGATGTTGGTAGCAACCTGTGTCCTAGTTTGGCAACCAAAAATGTCTCCATGCATTGCCCAATGTCCCCTGGGAGGGGCATGAGCAAAAATCATCTTTGCTTGAGAACCACAGATAAGCGTACACACAGCAATACACACTTACACATGCATGTATCAGATGTATTACACATAAGTATGTATGTATGTGTGCCTATATAGGCATGCCCATAGACACTCACTCATGCAGGTATACATGTCAGACTTATGCACATGTGTGTGTATGTGTGTGTATGTGTCTATAGACACATGTATGTTAGCAGGTGATGAGTACTGTGGAGAAGCATGAGCTTAAATGCAGCGAGGAGACTGGGACATGATACTATGTAAAGTATTCAGGGCAGTCCTCACCAAAAGGTGCCATTCGTGGAGAGATTTGAAGGGCGTGAAGAGTAGCCTTGCTAGTATTTGAGCCGAGAGCATTCCCACCAATGAGAACACTAAGAGCAGAGGCCCCAGGCAGAGAGGCCATGAGGGCAGGAGAATTGCAGGGAGCCCAGAGTGCTGGGCCGAAGAGATGGAACTGAGAAGTTGTAGGATCTTCATCATCACAACAATC